TTCAATAAAGATGATGCTGATAGGTTTCGAAGTAGCAAGATCCCCCGCCTCCTTTTTCTTTTATTTTTTTGAAAATTCGGTTAACAATATTGACATAACCTAATATTTCAGGTTAACAATTTTTAAGATTGAATTGAAGCCATCGCCTAAATTTCGGGTTGTCATGGTGAACGTCTTAGGAGGGTATCAATTTTGAAGCATATGCTTTATTTCTTAACATCAAAAGAATTGAGAAGATGGCAAACTAATTAATACTATGACTATGGGAGAGGGATATTTGTTTAATTCATCAATCTTGTTAGTTGGGATTTAGGCTGTCTCTTTCATTCCCGTTCAGTTAGTTGTTATTCACTACCTTGTAATTAACTTTGGGACTTAAAGATTCATAAGTTATTATTCCCTTCAACAAGATAAATATTAGTATAGGTGACATAAGACATATATCCCTCAATTCACGTCATTGCTGTAGCAGACTTTCGAACTTGTAATATTCATTAAGGTAGCATTTAAATTCTTTAAATTTAAATTTTAAAGTTAAAACATTAAATTTAAAATCTTACATTTAAAATCCAAATCCAAAGATTATGTCTAAAGGGAATGTTCAAACCCTAAGTTTTGAACTTTAAATTACTGGTATGCGATGACTGGAGTGTTCAGATACATTATGTCCAACGGGAAGTTTTTGTATTGTATGTGTTGTAGCAAGGGGCTGATCATGAGGGAGGAGAGATAATAGTTCTATTGGGCAACTGCAGAATGCCTCAACTTCATTTTTGGGAGAGAACAAACGAGTAAAAAAAAAAAAAACACTACATCTCAACCCAAAATTTCAAAGATTACTTGAAGTTCATAGATCTTTCTCATTTTTTTTATATTGATAATAATGATAATGAAGCACATCTTTTTGTAGTGTAAAAGTTACAATGGTTTAAGTCAACTCCACTTTGACAACTTTACAATCTTAGGTATAGATCCACCAGCTCTCATATGAAAAATGTTACAAATGCCAAGTCCCAATTTTTGAGTTTCAAACTATGACTCTATTACCTATTATAAATGGAGAACGACTATATAGAAACAAAGAGAGACAACAAATAAATAGCAATGAACTAAAACCCAACTTTACTTACTATAGGATAAATGAGCAAATTACATACAAGAACTAAAAAAATTAATTTGTTTGGTCATATTCTAAAATTTTTTATAAATTTTTCTATCATTTTCTAATCAACTAACAGTTAAAATTAATTTTTATTAATAGCAGGGACTAAATTGTATATTTTTTAAAAGTTGAAAGATAATTTTCATAATAAATTAATAAGTTCAAGATATATAGTATAATTAGACTTAAAACTTATGAGATAATTTGATCATTTATCCTTTAACATAAAACTTCTAATATTAACTCAAATCCATTCACACTTCAATAACTTAATAATCAATAATAACAAAATTAAACAATTATCCATATGAGATGCTGGCAAGGTCCTAATTACCTAATTTTTAATATTGAAGGAATAAATCATCCAAAGTTACAAATTTAAAATGTTACCTAATAAAGACAAAAAGCAAATGATGCTTATTGCTTTAAAATTAATTTGGACAGTCAAGTTTAAAACTCTAATTTTAATTTTTAAATAATATCAAATCACAACTAAAATATGATTTTTTTTTTATTTTGCATTGTTAAAATAATTGATGATATGTCCACAAAATGTTGGCCTGATAGATCATTCTTTTGTGACAACCTCTTGCCCACGTGGCAACTAGCACCTCCTACGATGCTGGTGAAGTCGTTGCCAACTATTATTGCGAGGGGTAGGAGTGCTGAGTGCACGAGGATAGAGTCAAATCAAGTATCACTCCTATTCCATGTATAAACACGGCCAGCCCCATGCTTGAGTATTTGAGTTGAGCTTGGTCTGATTGATATAAAATAATTTTTGCAAATATTTTTTAAAAAATATATAAATAAATTCCTTTCAAAAAAATATAATTATTATCATTCATAATACATTCTTTATAAAATTAATATTGGAATCAAAAGTAATTCTTTAAAAATTATATGGTCAATACTTGTCAATTATTTCTACATAATATTAAGTTAAAAACAAATTTTAAACTTTTGAATGAGAGTAAAAAAAATATAACGTTAAGAAATGTTTAAAAAGATCATAAAAATAATAAAATTTGTGATATCTCTCAACTAAAAATGATATCATAAAATAAATACCATTCACAACAAATATTAAAACAAAAAAGTGACATGTCCGGTAAGATTGGGTTAACCAAGCTTTCAGGTGACTTGAATAGCTCTACTTAAAGGGGACACCGAACACTTTGAAGTTGGGGATTTGCTTGCCTAATCAAATTGCTCAAAAAAAAATGCTCGCACTCCCATATCGACGGCTAAGAGAGGACAGGATATCATATGCATACACTTGGAGGCCTCTGACGATGAAAATTTTAGCATTCATTCTACCAATTGCAAGGGAACTCTTCATTTTGTGCGGATGAGGAATGACGTGCTCATTACCTATAAGTGACCTCGGCCATTTTCAAATGATCTCTACCATTAATTTTAATTTTTTTTAAAAAAATTAATATTATATTTATCAAAATAAAAATTATAAAAAAATTAATATTAAATCTGTACTATGCTTATTAGAGGATGAATGTCATGATAGTTATCACCCTAATGAGATTTAGACAGTCCAGGTTAAATTTTTATTTTTATTTTTTATTTATTTAAATAAAAATATATAAAAATATAGAAATCTTTAATAAAACTACTTATCATTAATTTAAACAGTACAGATTCAATCTAGATGACTCAATTTAATATTATGTTAATAATTTTTATAAATTAACTATTCAAATGCATTCAGTGCAATATAAATATAATCAAAAAAGCTCAATTTAATATTATAATTTTATAAATAGACCATTTAGGTATACTCAATGGTCTAAATTTAATATTAAAATTTTTATAATTTTTATATATTTTTATTTTGATAAATATAATATTAAAAATATTTTAAAAGATAACTTAAAATCAACTACGGAATCATTTGAGGAGAAAAAAAGAAGGCTCATTGAGTGCGGATCCATTACAATTGCTTGTTCCTCGAAGGTATCGTTTTGGACAAGCCCGAATGAGATCAAGATGACATACTACATGCAACGAGCTGGAAGATAGAAGATGGTTGCCGCCTTCAAACTTGTGCCCAATAGAATGCGAAATGAATGAAGACGCTATGCACCTAATCAAAGATTGTCCTCATGAGAAAAGAGGCTTAGCTTGATCAAGATAGAGATGCTGAACAAGTTTCAAAGCTTAAACAATGAAAACTGGATAAAAGCGAAGTCTGCAAAAAGAGGCAGGTAAAGACTTTACTGAACAAGTACCATGGAGTGTTCTTTTTGGATATGCTTGTTGGGATATCTAGTGCTCTTGTTGCAAGCAAGCCTTCTCTAGTGAGGAGAGCATTGGGTCTGGCATTGCTATTTACATAAGGTTAGAATGGATCTAGATATTTCACACACGTCTCCCTCAACGGCCACGAATGCTAGAGCCTATCCAGACAAATGGATAAGACCTGAGGCTATGCAGATTAGATATTGACGATTCTATAAAGGTGGAATTGAAAAATGAGGCGGTGTGATGCAAGACATGCTCTACTTCGTGGATTGCCGGTTCTAAACATTAGCTCCTGTTCCCCAGCCATTACAAACTCAGGAATTACTACAATGTGCAAGTTTACAAAGATTATGTGGAAGCTTTGAACCCAGTTACCAGATATGAATCCACTCAACATCCTTTCAGAGATGTTATTGATCACGCCAAGATGCTTTTTTATGGGGATCGGTGGTTACTTTGAATTTTGCTTACAAGGAAGCAAAATATTGCGCCCTTTTTTTTGGCTGTAAACGCTCAAAATGAAAGGTCTTCAACTACTAGCAATTGGTTTGCAATCCTTTTTTATTAATAGTTCAGCATTTCATTCAAAAAGAAAAACAAAGAGAAAGAGAAGCCTAAACGATCCAGACCCCTTTTCTTTTATTGACGTTAATTGTTTTAGAACACAAATATATCCTGAAATCAACAATAATAAAGCATATGATGCTCAATACTATTCATAAAAAAATACACATCAAACAATAGTATTTAAATAGTGAATTGGATAGGCTAAGGCATCTAGACAATGAGTACATATGAATTAGACTAACCTATTAACCACGGCACTAGTAGATTTGGAATGATTGAACTTACTGGAGATCTTTGACGTATCAACGCGTTAACTTTAATATGCCCTGTTACAAACTGTACCTAAAAATCTGTTCAATCTTTTGCCGTTTACCACCCCAAAAGAAAAGAACTAAAAGATAAATCCGAATATGTATAATTCAAATACCTCGCGCCCCTCTCCAACCTAGAAAGAGAAACAAATCCATATCTTGGGATCATCACTGTAACAAGATAATGCCGGCATAACTCATAACTTGTAATCTCCTGTACAGACTTAAACTACAATCAACTAAACTTCCAGAAACATTTGCCAGCAGAACATTATCGGCAACCTTAGTCCCTTGGGGACATCCGATAATCGGCAACCTTACTAAATACTAAAACAGCAAAATTACCCAGACACTTTATAAACCTTGATTAATGAGGTAGTTGGAGGAGTTACCCTAAAGCCACAGGATTAATCATGAATAACTCTGCATATCAATGGGGTGAAAGGAGGTACACAAACGATTGATCTGGCTGAAAACAAAGACCACATATGGTGAGCAAATATCTGCACGCTTGGTAGAAGATCCAAGTAAATAAACTCGCCAAACACAACACCTATATAAAGACAAACGCCTCTCACCAGGAAGCCCAAGTGCAAGCCAAGATGACTGAAATATTGCACGCCTAGTAAAATTCTGGCGTCAAGGCCAGCATTGTATATCAAACTTGTTGAAAAGCAGCAGTACCATGTCACGTGGAAAAATTAAAAACTTGAGCATTAACATTTCAATGGAACACAAGGACATCATATTCAAAGAACCAACAATTCAATCAATCTATACCATTCAAAGGAAAACAAATATTCAACAAAACCATACGCAATTCAATGAAGAAAAAAATCAAAACTTGGTGGTATTGTAACTCTTAGGAACAGTTGTGTGAAAAGGACTACAATCTAAATTACCAACATAACTTAATCTAAGACAAAAAGTTGATTTCATCTTAGCCTAACGAGTGAAAACATCCGAACTAAACAAAAGATGAAGCACCATTTAGTCTCCCTTCTTCCTAAAAGAGCAGCCCTCTGTTAGCCTAGCCCGTCCACCAGTGGGCTGGCATAAGACAGTTTGGCAGTTGCCACATACCACAACAGTCTGAGAGTGGCTGAAAACAGTGGTTCTGCATCCAAATTAAAAATCCACACAGTCAAATAAATACAATTAAAATATCACAGACAAAACCGAAGAAAAGATTGCTACTTACATGTTGAAGCAACCCTGGCACTTCACATCCTGCAACACAAAACCAGCAAGGCCATCAGAGATCAAACTAAGAAAATAACTTATAGGACACCAAATATAACCTCAAATACTAGCAGATAAGATGCTCCGGAGAAAATTTCTCTTTCAAATAATGCAAAAGAGCAGCGAAGACGAAATTGGAGTTAATAAGAGTTCAATACCATGAAGAAAGAGTTTGGAGACTGGACAAGACGCTTGAGCTTGTGTTTTCTCTTCTCCAGCTCAGTCGGGGGATTTAACAGATCAATATCATTTTGAAGAACCTATCCACCGAACCAGCGGACAAAAATACAATTGATTAGGTAACTGAAAAGGCAAATTTTTCATTACAAAATTTGCAAAATCCCATTATTCCATCTAATCCGCCAAATATATTGCACAGATTTAAAGAGCAAAAACATTAAAAATAAAATCACGCGATACGAAAGAGGAACCTTCCCGCAGATAACCCTTAATTTAACCATCGGTTTCTCTATTCCACATAACAGAACCCACAAAGCAGAAACATAAACGATGAGGAAGATACTTTGTCTAGTACAGTTTTTCATATCATTATGATCCCATTTCCATCAGATTCTTAGCGACAAAAAGAGAATCGATACAAAGCCAAACAGAAGATGAATGAGAACGTAGGAAATTGAGGAAAAAGAACCGAAGATCTGCTACAATGATAAGGGTAGAGATAATACTCACCATGTTGTAAAATGAAGTCGAAAAGTAGGAGGACTCAAACAAAACCCTAGCTTTTGAAGAGGAGAAGACTGGTCGAGCGGCGGGAGAGGGAACACAGAAGATAGCGCAGTTTGTTTATAAGAGATCAATGAGGACCACGCCCACAGGCGGTTCACTATTTGCAAAAATGTCAGTGAATAAAATTGGGCCTTTCATTTGAGGCCCTCTCAAATGGGCCTCCAATATTCTTCCGTTTTCTTTCCGTAAATTCAATAATAATAAATTCAGTGTTTGCCAAAACAGGCGGTGAATGAAATTGGGCCTTTCATTTGCGGCTCTCTCAAATGGGCCTCCAATATTCTACCGTTTTTTTTCCGTCAATAAAATAATAATAAATTCCACTACTTAAAGTCAAAAGTGAATATTCTTTTAAAATTTAAAATTTTATTCCTAATCTAACCCTTTCCTGTTTAGAAGAGGGACACACAAGAAAATTCCAATTATCAAGCCTTTCAATACAATCCAATATTTTAAGAGCTCAAATATGATTAAATAAATTTTTCTTTATCCACTGTTACCTTCTTCAAACTTTAATTCATATTTTTTTGTGGAGGAAATCTCTAATCAACAATAAAATAAGATTCATTTTAAATCATATTTAAGGGATTCATCGGTTTGAGCCAAAGAAACAATGTCACTCAATCATTATTAAACTGACTGCAATCTTTTTAGTATGGCCGGAATAAATCTCAAAATTATTTCATTTCACATATTGCTTAAATTTTTTTTACCAAATTAAATAATAATTAGTAAAATAGATTTCAATGTACATTTATTATCTGTTTTTCTCTTTTCTTTTTTTCCCCCAGTTATACCTCTTTATTTTATATGTGTTACTGTTATGTTTCTTATCCACTAAATTTTGTTGATCTATATGTGAATTTAGAAATTCGTTGATTTTGGCGATTTTGACCGAAGCATTTAATCGTACATGCTTAGTATTTTTTTCATTATCACGTCAAAGCAGTGAGAAAAATATTGAGACTAGATTACGATAACGACGAGACTTCATTCTTCAATGGAAAATTGAAGAATTACACTGCAGATGTGTGATAATTATTCCCAGAGGTGGTGAATATCTCCTTCAAAAAACCCGTAAAAAATACCTATTTCAAAATAAATTTACAAACAGAATAATAGAAACAGTTTTAATACATGAAGATTACCATTTTATCCCCCACCAAAAATCAGTTTGAGTTTAAACAAAAATTACGAAAGACTCCAGAAAACTGCCAACAATTCATAAGATAAGGGAACAAATAACTTAAAGAACATTAGTCATGTTAACATTATTAAATTTAACAGATATAGCTTTTTTGCGACTAATAACAAATATAATAACTCATGGAACTACTAACCATTACAAAATCGGATTCCTGTGTTTTCTCCAACACATTATGAACGAGCACCATGCAAGACATATCAATTTTGTCCTTGCTGCTGTTGACTTCACAGTTGCCATTGCTGAACCAACATCGACAAATTCGGGCAAGCCAAGTTGATCGAACAGATCAGATAAAAATGAAGCAGAAAGATTCTCACTCCAATTTCAAACCCCTTTTCATAGCTTCATAAAGCACATAAGTGATACTTGCCGATGGAATCACTTTGAGGAGGTTGGGAAATATCCCTTTGTAGAATCCTCTAAACCCTTCATGCTCAAAAGTCCTCCTGAACACTTCATTCATTCCATTATAAGCAGCACTAGCATTGGAGCGTTGAGCCTGCATTCTGAAATCAACAGAGATAACGTGCCTTTATTATAGCTCAAAGCGAATCAAACGCCAACTATTCAAGAAAACAAAATAGCCATTTTAAAGGCCGAAGTTTACCTGGTTCTAACGACCTGCAACGGGTATACGCATGTTGCTCCAAGGGCTCCTGAAACTGTCCCACAACACAGTTGTACAAGAGGACCAGGTTCACCTGCAGCAGATATCAGAGTTTCAACATATATACTGGCTAAAGGAATATCTGAACAGAACTAAAGGAGTTTATTACCTCCATCATGAAGAATATACTTCTTGGACATGTCTTTCAGAGCCTCGTATGCAGCTATATCTATGCCAGCATAAGGGATAATCCCAAGAAGAGAAGGAACCAGGCCCCTATAGAATGCACGAGGTCCTTCGTGAACCCATATATCTTTAGAGAGGTTTCCAAGACGAGGGATTCTGCCACCTTGACTAAAAGCATAGGTTTGTACTCGTGTTTTAATAAGGTCCATTGGATATATTGTAGTTTGTGCTATTCCACCAGCCAAACCACCAGCTAGTACGTGGCCCACAGTCCCAATACCAGAGCCTCCCTCTTGATCTCCTTTAGAATTGACAATCCAAGTCTTGATGAGTGTCTCGTAAGTGTAAAACCTTATGGCACTCTCAGGAGCCACCTTGAGGACATTCAAGCCATTGCCTCGAAAAAACCCCAAGAAACCGCCTTCTTTCCATATATTTTTAAGTGCAGGCATTATATGAGTCCGCGTGGTTTGGATTTGCAGAATGGTCTTTAGACGATCAAGTGGTGCAGTAGCAGTGCGCGATGCTGCCCCTGCCAATCCTCCGGCAAGCAAATATTTACCTGCGTGAATGTTTCCACTGATACCTGTAGGACTAACACTTTGTTCCCCAATGTCAATAAGGCATACACGCTCTAAATAACGGTAAATGTTTTCTATAGTTGCCTCTCTTGGGTATAGCAGAAGAAAATCCCTCCATTTTTCAAATGTTATAACCCCATGCTCCATAAAAATGGCAAGTTCCTCCTCACCAATCTGAATCCCTGCAACAGAGACATTAGTTTGGCTTAGCATTTAAGATGAAAAATAGGTATCTTGCACTTATTAAAGCATAAATTTAACATTTTAGCAGATGACAGAGGCGGGTTTATTACCTGCCCTTACCACTGCCTCACAGAGCTCTTCTGGCATAATGCATCCGTTGTGTTCAACATCAATGGCTTGAAATATGCGGTAAAGCTCCATCTCCTTGTCATCCACATACTTCTTGAAGTCCTTATAATTGACCCGCCCGTCTTTGTCAGCATCACAAGCTTTTAAGAAATCCTTGGCATGCTTGTATTCTGGTGGTATATGGAGCGCAGAGAGGCCTGCTTCAATCTGGGCATAATCTATAATTCCAGAATCTTCCTCATCAAAGAAACTGAATAGATTACGGATCCTTTGCTCCCTCTCTTCCTTGGTCTCCTGGGATGCCAAAAGAACATCATCCATTGTCACCCGTCGTGGTTTCTTTACAGGCTTGCTGCATTTTGATCTGGATTCCTTATCGTTCTTCATCGAAACGTTAAGCAAGCATGATATGATATGACTCTTAAAGGATCCTTTATCTATAGATTCAAGCTCGATGCTGAAATTTATAATCAAATTATATGTGGTCAAGAAATAATCGAAGGGAAGCTCGTTAGTAGTTACGTACAATCATCGCAATTAACAAAGGATCTCAATCAGATTCCCCTTCCAAAGCAAACGCAATGACAATGCATGATTGAACAAACACGCACTGTTGGCTTTGTTTCTTGCATTTTAGAATTTTATAGCCACCATTAAATAACATAATGAATCGAATCAGAGCACCATGTTCCACAGTTTGACAGAATTTAGCTTCAAGGAGATTATATTTCAAACAAAAGGCCGAAAAAGAACGAGGGCACCATGAACTGGGGACCGTGGAAAGAAGGTACGCAAAAGGCGGGAAATAGAAGATACACCTTTCGCTAAAGAAGGAAGCAAAATTTCACGATGGTTGCGCCACCGTGCGTCCGCGTAAAAAAAGAAAAAGAATGTGGTTAGGGTTCAAACAATGGCCGGCGGCGCCGGCAAAATCCAATGGCTAGAAAAATCTGCTCCTCGTAAAAAAAAACTGTCGGGTAATAGTTAAAGGAAAAGCTAATATAGTAAGGAAAAAAAAAGGGTGAATGCGATGGCGATGATTTGAAGAGCGAGAGAAAGATGCAAAATGCAACGTAAGGTTGCTTTTTTATTCATATATATATATATATATATGTTCTTTTAATTATGTTCAGTACGTGTATTCTTTAACGTTAGCTTAGTTCCAGAGATTTGAAGACTATGTTGTGGGATCTTGACATGGTTGAATGAGCTTATTCAAGCGCTGGCCTCTTTATTCCATGGAATAATTCATTCCGCAATTCATTGTAAAACATAGTCATCAATATTCAGATACATATGGAGCCTCAAGGGAAAGCGTGAATTAGAATGTAAAAATAAAAGCAGGGGTGGATCCGCAATTTATTGTAACTGGTGAGGAACATTAAAAGTGAGTAGGAAGGTGAAGGCAATCATGAAGGGGTTGGTGGCTGAAGGAAGTAAGAAGGAAGAGGAGGGACAACAGGTGAATTGGTGCAGGCACTCATACAGTTGTAGTTATCCTGGCCACACCTTACAGAGCAAGGTATGAAATTCATGGAGTTCTTGCGGAAGCAGTTTGTGAAACAGGACACAACAGAGGAGCCGCAGGCCACCAGGCACATCTCCACGTCGTTTTCGCCGGAGCTGCTTGTTGCTGATTGCGCCGCCGTTAGTATCAACGCGACCACCGCCATCCCCATCGCTTGCTTCGCCTTCCCACTCATTTCTCTGCTTTGCTCTGCTCTTGTACTCAATCTGGATTCATAAAACCACACACAACCAGGCTGTGTTTATATACTGCGTAACAACGAAGCTGCTTTTGTCGTCTACGATTCGAACTCTCTGTCTCATCCGATTTGAATGTTTCGGCTTTGGCTGCGCCTGCACGTACCCCACCCACATCTTTTGCATGCACACATTTCATGCTACACCAACATTATGTGATTTAAGAATTACACAAGCAGTCCGTGGAAATTTTGAGATAAAGTCGATTCTCACAAATTTGTCCATCGAATTCTGTTTCTAAGCTAAACAAAATGCTATCTATGATAATTTTACTATTTTCAGTACAGATTGAAAAATCAAGTTTATATGGGATAGATCTTCTGGAAAACTTTCAAAAGGTACTGTAAAAACTCAACTCCTCTTATAGCCTAGTGCCCAACGCGACGGAAGCCTCAATTAAAATACAATGCTTCTTTATAAATAATTAAGAATATTAATTTTTACTCAATTTTTAACTGTCAAAAAAAAAACCCTTGTATCAGTTCAATATTAGACTTATTAAAGTTTCTCATCTGATATTTTATATTTAGATACACATTTCAAGAAATTCTTTGCTAAGTTTTATGAAGATTATATGTTAGATTTATAACGAATTCTTAATATAAAAAATGATAGTATTTAATTTTTTTTGAAAAAATTACTCATCCATCTCAAGAATTTTGACTCAATTAAAATTCAATATCTATGCTTTAACTTATTGTAACTCAATTTTCATAATCTTAGCTTCACGGAAATTTGATTATTAAACGTTAACTCAATATGACTCTGTAATTTAATTTTAATTATTTAAAATGTCAATCGATGCATTTTAGAGGATAAAGTTGTGAGAACCAAAATAATTTATTGAAACTTAAGGAATATAGTTTTAAATAACTAAAATTAGAGAGAGTGAGTTTCAATTAAGTTAAAATTATAAAATTTGAATTATAATAAATTAAAATTTATTAATTAAGTTACAGTTATGTCAAAATTATAGATACCATGTCATTATTTTTCCCTCCATGAGTCATATGGCTACATGGAAAATAAGATCGAACAGAGTGACTCGGGGAAAAACTGATTACAATAGCTTCGTGGTCTTAATGCGCGCACGCACACATATCTATATCTATATATGTATATGTATATCACATAAACCCATCAAATGGAGGGACTTATATGGTGGAACACAAGTGAAATCATACACACAGTTTTTTTTTTGGGGGGGGGGGAGCTATTTCTGTTGGCCTTGTGAGGAAGAACACGAGATTGATGTTTCCTGTAAGTAAGGGGGGAAACAGCAGCGCCTGGAGGGTTCTAAGAGACCATAATAATTAACAGGGACAGGCTTTGTGGGGTATGGTGGTAAATGCGATGCGAGTATTGAGCCTCTGCCATGATTAATTAAATTGGAGAGCACAGGGGTAGGGAGGTTATAACTTGCTGCAGATCAATGGGAGTCAGGAAGATGAATATGTATTTACACTCACTTTGCTCTCGAGGTTTGAATTGCATTATTTACGCATACAAGAGATATTGAGGAATGAAGAAGCCCGAGATAGTTTTGAGTACCCTGTTGATCTCGAATTTATTAGATCACCGCGTGTCGCTCCACGCCGGTGACACCGCCTTCTGCACTTCCCTCCCTCCCTCCCTCCTACAATCATGCTCAGCTGTGCCCATCGAGGCATCTGCACATGAGTTCTTATTATCATTCCCTTGTTTAAAACTAAATCAAGAAACTGACTCATTAATGCATTAAAAAAAAAGTAAATAAAGAGAAAAAATTGTGTTGAAAGGGACGTGGTGAAGGCCTCGCTAGCTGTCTACATTATTGAAGTATGGCACGCGTGGTTTTGTTTTTGGCCAACTTCGCGGTTGTTCAATTGCCCATGCAAAATGGAGATCATAAGCACCTTTTGCCAATTTAGGAATTTAAAACGATCAAATCTTGCTCTTGATGTGCATTTGATATGGTCCGGATCCAGAAAACAATGTGCGCTACTTCATTCTTACTTTTCTTACTTCATTCATATCGTAAGCCTTTTTTTAGATGCGTCGTGCTTGACTGCCTGTGGATATATATATATATATATATATATATGTATATGTATATGACGCGTTCCCCCTCATTTTCATTTTAATGGGTCCAAAGTTTTATTATATATGCTAAGTACGTTCGTAAAATTAAATTTTACAATTACGTAATATTTATATCGTATTCTAAGATGATCATAAAGACAAAAATTATCGTAGATGAATTTGATTGCATATATACTTAATTATTATCAACTTACAAGTAGTTGAGACCATTGAATTAATTATATATATTTGTGTGCGAGCGCGCGTAAATTTATCAACCGTTGATATATTAAAATATGAGTCGGCAGTTGTGTTGCTTTCGTGGAACGCTGAGATGAATGGATAACAATTGTCCCGTGAAAAAATTAATCTTTCGAAGCTATATTGGACCCTTGACGAGATAGTCAAATTCAGAGTATACACGTGCATGTGAATATGTATGTGAGTAATATTAAAGAAATATGATCAGCCCTTAAAACAAGGAATGATCATGGGCTATCCCTCTTGCTAGGTAATCGAGCAAACTCACCAGGCAAGTAACATTTTCACTTTCACGTTATGACTCGTGACAGTGATTTTTTTTTTTTTTGCGGAATACTACATCATATAATGTGACGTGGGTAAATAATCCGCTGTATGCAGTGTCCGATTTATCCCTATATATTATTCTCCCTGTCAAAACAGGTTTGGACTGAGAGTGCAAAATTAAGTTTGTTTGATTGCAAACACAGCCACGTGATAATAGTTCGAGACAATTTAAATAACGTGATTGGACTAGTTAATTCTACAGGTTGATCGATGAAAGCATGCTTGGTTCTAACTGACTCATCAACAAGCTCCTCCTAGAGGGCCGTTATAATTGTGCATCATAATGTACGTATTAATTTATAAGATATTTTTAAACAATATCACATCCATCAACAAGGCTCATTAAATACATTTTAAAATTTTATTTTTTAAAAATAAAAATATAAACTTTATTTTGACTTAATACTTCATTTGTGAAAAAATAATGATGAGAGAGAATATATGAAAAAGAAAATATTACAAAATTATTATTAATAAAAAAATTTTATCAAAGAATCTTATATTATTAGAAGTCGTATTTCTCTCACAAGTGTCTTGTAAATTAAGATGAAAAAAGTATATATTATTTCAAACATTAAGGCAATTATTTGACTTCTCATGATGTATTTTGAGACTTTAATTAATACCATAATTAGACCTCATCGAAGACAGAATTACTATTATTTTGGATGTATTAGAACGTCTGTTTTCTTTATTAGGACGGAATGCAAAGCAACGTGAGAGGGGTAAAAAAAAAAAAAAACCCCAAGTAACGCAGCATCCGTTGGAAGCTCTATAGGGAACATCTTTTTTTTTTTTGGTAAACATGTGGAATAAGCACTGTCCATAGCAAATAATATCATTCCCAGAGTATTAAGGTGTAATTGGTAAACTCTCCCAATTCAATTGTTATATATACAGGGGTTAAAATTTGAATTCTCAATCATTTGTTTAGACAATAATGAGAACCTATGTCACTCGTCGTGCGTTTTATTTGTTCATCTTCCTAATAAATAACATTCCAGCTCTTCATCATTGACGCACAAAAAAATTTAAAACACACCACAAGCGTATAGATCTAACGTAGTATAATGAATTAAAGTTGTCTCGTAAGGAACCAATTAAAAAGAATTGGCGCAGACGATAGTTGTTTTTCATCTCGGTTAAATTTTCCAATCAAAGAAATAAATTTTTAATAATTTTAAAATATGAAATAAATAAAATAAAAGCCAAAGAATAAATTTGAGTTATGACGAACAATCAAAAAGCACTATAAGAATTATAATCCCCTTTCATTCTTTACAATTCAATTTCTTTTAGTTATCATTTTATTTTACATTTAAAATCAAGCCTTTAAATTAAATTATATATTCGTCAATTACAAAACCCATGATCTAATTATTTTATGATGTCTCAAGTAAGTCCCAATCTAATTATGTACAAACCTTAAAAGATTATCAAGGGCTCTTGAGTATATGTCTATCTCAAACACAAATTAGATCAAATATAATCCTAAATTGCCCAATACACAGTTTATTTGAGATTCCCTTCTATTGAAGGTGAAAACCAGGATTGAAGAACACATTAAAGTTGGCCACCAATGGAATAGATCTAGCATTAAAGCATTCATCAAAATTAATCGTTAAAAAAAAAATATACCGAGAAGCATTAAATGTTCACAAAATTCCTAAAAAAAAAAAAACCTAGTGACTCACAACTCTGAATATGCAAAATAAACCAAATTCAACGCAAAGATTGAAAAGCATGGAAAATAATGGGAGAACTCCACAATATTTGGTTGAGAATCGCTCATTTATCTCCCTAATCTTTAAGAACCCCTCAAACTTTGGCCTAAGCTTTAGAGCAGCCTTCTCAATTTTAGATACAAACTTCAATCATTTCACAAGCATGACTAGGGCTTTATTTATAACTTTTCTTGCATCCTTTTTGCCTCTAATTTCTATCTCATCCTTCCTGATTTTATAAGATATTCTTTAATTTCCCATTTTGCATTTTTGAATCAACTCAGCCACATATTATGATTCACTTCCGTGCGTGATCGTATTCCTTAGTCCCATGACTGTGCGTGGTCAAACGTCGAAGGGGTGGTCTGTGCGAGTTTCTCCACTCGTGGTCGAGTGTCAATGCTTTAGGTGTCCCCCGCAGTAAATCTTTCTTCACTATCTCCGCACGCAGACAAGCTTTCCAAAGGAAATTGATTTTAATCTAGATGATCTAAATCTTAAGTATTATTATCATAATATTATATATTATATTTATTAAAATAAAAATTTTAATAAATAAATAAATTTAATATTAAATTAGACCCTCTAAATTAAACTTAAACTAAATTAATAATAAAATTTTTATTCAAATTATTTTATAATTTTTATTTGTATAAATATAATATATAATAATATTTAAAATTTAAATTATTTAAATTAAAATCTGAACGATCCAAATTTCATCCAAGCTCATCCTTGATGAGCCTTCCCAAAGATGGTTTTCCTTATACTGGATACATCAGTGGGCAAAGGTTCTGTTCTCTTTACATATCCGCAATGCTGACATCTCTGAACTCATTGAATTTTCTCACCTTTCTCATGTCAATGTGTGAAGAAGACTCAGTTCTTCTCTTGTCCGTGAGCGGAGATTTATTCCTGGGCATGATGGTTGGGCCTTAACCTTAATTATGTTATGTTAGATAGAGCTATTAATTAAAATCAATTCTTAAAAAGTTAATATTTAAATAGGTTAGTCTTATTAAGCTTGATTATATTTTAAGACTTCATTTTGATTAACTTAGCCCTGACCCTCAGGGTTGAAGGGCCAGATTTCAAAATCTCAATCCTATTTTTTTTCTTTTTTCAATTTTAAAAAATAAAAAAACATATTTAAAATTTTAAAAAGTTATTGTACATAACATTAAGTTTGGAAAAATAAATTTAAGTCAATACATACAACAACAATTTTAAGTCTAATAAAAAATAACATCACTATAAAATCAACATTGATAATAATCAAATTTTGCTAGCATTATTAACTAAATCTTGATAATTTTTATTGTTATCAATATCAATATAAATATAATTTTATTCTTCTCCTCGTAGAACCTCATTTGTAAAGTCTCCCTTACTAGTTACCAATTAGCTTCAAAATTCAAGGTGACTAAAGGATTAGCCCTAAAGTACGATTACCAAGTTTGTAGACTTAACATTTAAGATCCCAAGTTTTTCAAAATTAAAACATGACAATAAACCTTCACCAATTCAAAATCAAAGCAAATAGATATAGAAGAAAGCGTGGAATCTTTAACAATTTAAAGCATTTGCATAATAAATATGTTGGATTATCTACCCTTGATAGACCAGGCCTATATAAAAGCCCAAAATTGGGAAATGGGTTCTTGTGACAATTGTAAAAAATATTTGGGTTCAATATGCAATTTACTCAGGGCCTCAAAATGTAGCGGTTAGGGAGAAAGTGTCACACGTTCCCATAAAAGGTGGCTATGGGTGTAGTTCTCTATCAGTTTTTTGTTCTCTGCATAAAACGGAAACCAAACGCTCTCGTTTTTCAGTTAACTCATTTTCTCCTTACAACTCATTCTCTAAGGGAGTGCATGTGCTATGTATCCGAACAAAGTTTAACCAGTGTAACTTTGTTCCTACATATGTACATGCGAATTAACGAATTAAAATATGTTTTCCTCCTCAGATTCTCTCAAAGTATAAATAATAAAATAGGGTAGGGGGAACAAACGATGTGTTGTAGCTTATTGGATGTGAGGTATGGCAAATTGCCTTCGTTCCATGTGTCTTGCTCATTGCACGATTTTGACAGCTTTGCTACTGTCATTTGACAACAATAAGGCCAAACTTCCAATGCACTTCATTTTTTCGTCTGACGTTTGGTGAAGGTGATATATATGTCTACAAAGAGCTTTTTTCTAACTCTATCTTATAGTACTAGTTTCACAATTAAATCATTTTTTAGTCAAAATTGAATACCAATTTTACAACTCACTCCTTTACACTACTTAAATAGAACTTAGTTGTTCTAATTTCATACAAAGTGCCAAAAGCTTCAAGCACAACTCAGACTATACTCAATAGACTATTTTGAACTTCTGCAATACACCACATCACTAACAACACATATAAAACACGTTTTTAATGCCCAACTCCTTAATTACAAGAATATAAAAAGGGCCTTAAGTTCATAGCCTTAAATTCATAATTCATTACATCATTCCACAATAATCACAATCTCACTAACTCCCTACTTGCACTAGTTTTTTAGTTCTGTAGTAGATTTCACAATTATTACATATACACCATAGAGCCTAAAATACGCAATATAATTTAACAACTTCCTAATGCAAGCCCAAAAACATGGATAACCTTAGTTGGCAATATCATTTAAAATATATACATAAGGAAAAAAATCAAAATACACGAGGCCTCCAATTTTTTAGGATAAAATCCTAAGCCTCGATTTACTTTCCTCGATCGTGCTCCAATGAGCTATTTCTTATAATATTAAAAATAATGAGGTGAGTATAATTACTCAATAACTAAAGTTCATCTAACTAATTTATATGTAAGTGGCGCATAATCACACATACGACGAATTTAACATGTTCAAGCACAGCATAGCACTTCACATCATTTTGAGCATATAAGCATTAAGTGACAATACGATAGCTCATTTTACATTATTATATACGAATCACATGTTTTCATCATGAGGGCCACAATAAAGACAATCATGTGCCCTTTTATTATAATACGCATGATCACACTTTTCTTATATTCTCCTTATGTTTCTGACATGAAACCGTGGACTATAACTCATGGAGATTGTCTATAATATTAGATTATCCTAGCCATTCATGCTACACAATTTGTGTTAATCTAAACTGTGCAGAATACATTTGAATAGTTAATATATAATAATTATAAAAATTTTAATATTAAATTAAACCCTTCAAATTAAATATAGACTGTATTAAAAATAAAAAATTATTAAAATTATTTTATAATTTTGATAAATTTTTATTTTAGAAAAGATAATATATTATAATAGTTGGTTTAGATATCATCACAGTAATAAATTTTATGGTGCTACCAAACTCATGCGCCCGGTGAGTGATAATAATAATGAGCCGCTTAAACCGCGCATGGTGCAGTTTGAGGTGATTTCAGGCTTATCGTTTTACCTTTACTCGCCACAACCCAATTCCAACCACCGGACCCTCCAAAATTTCTCGTTTCAACAGTTACTTCATTTCCATTAATTAATGGAGTAAGCCGCGTGTTTTTCGCACGCACCGTCCGCGTCTCAGTCCGAGATGCAACTTTCTCTCAAAAGACTGATCGCGAAACCAAACTCACCGTATGACACACCATCACTACCAGTCCAAGCTTAGTTAGCCGATAAGACCCCTTTCAACCATCAAAACTTGGAATGGCAGCTCAACTTTCGTCTTACATTCATGATCTGACACTTATACTCTTATGGCCATCACGACGCCATTACATAACCCAGTTGTTGATGTAACGCAACCTGCTGGTGGCACTTGTGCCCACGGGTTCCCTCGTTTCCTTTTTCATTGTGTCCCTCCATCTTTATATATAAAATATTATTAATTAAATTTTATATATCAATAAAAATTTATTATTTAATTAAACTCATATAAAAACACAATAAGTTTTTTATTTTACCTTTAACAATATTACAATATTATAATAATAGTAGAAAAAATATATAATTAATTAATTATTTATTTTTTAAGATAAAAATAAAATTGTTTAGATAAATCAAAGGTTTAAAAGTGAGAGCCAATAATTAATAACAGTAGTGGTAGCAGCAGACAGGGCTCCTTGATTCGGATGGTTTTGCGAGGAGTTTAAGTTTTCACATTAACATGCTAAACACTTGAAGATATATGTATGGCACTAAAAGACTGACATCTACCACCTGGGTTCATCAAACCACGTGGCCTCCCAGCTGCCCGTCCCCTCTACCTACCCCTCTTTGCCTCCAGTCTCGTATTTAAACCCAATCTTGCAGTACCGCTCCACAAACCCAGGACCTTCCATTCCTAAGATTAGCTTCGCCGTTCACCAAATCTCACGCCGGCTTTCTTCTCCTCTCCACCGTCTTCAACACACCCCGAGATGGTCACCGTCGATGAGATCCGCGACGCCCAGCGTTCCCGGGGGCCCGCCACCATCCTTGCCTTCGGCACCGCCACTCCCTCTAACTGTATCCTCCAAGCTGATTACCCCGACTACTACTTCCGCATCACTCAGAGCGAGCACATGACCGATCTCAAAGAGAAGTTCAAGCGCATGTGTACGTTCTCTCTCTCTCTCTCTATATATACATATATATATATCTGCACACATTTTCATCTCTTGGTTCACTTGATTCTTTCTCACATGAAAACGTGCTTCTTGCTGAATTGTTTCCAGGTGAAAAATCTATGATAAGGAAGCGTTACATGCACTTGACGGAGGAGATTCTGAAGGAGAACCCCAACATGTGCGCTTACATGGCTCCCTCTCTGGACGCTCGTCAGGACATGGTGGTGGTTGAGGTCCCTAAACTCGGGAAAGAAGCGGCCGTCAAGGCTATTAAGGAATGGGGTCAGCCCAAGTCCAAGATTACCCACCTCGTCTTCTGCACCACCTCCGGGGTGGACATGCCCGGAGCAGATTATCAGCTCACCAAACTTCTCGGCCTCAGACCCTCCGTCAAAAGACTCATGATGTACCAGCAGGGCTGCTTCGCCGGAGGCACCGTCCTCCGCCTCGCCAAGGACCTCGCTGAGAACAACAAGGGCGCCCGTGTTCTCGTCGTCTGCTCCGAGATCACCGCCGTCACTTTCCGCGGGCCCTCCGATACTCACCTGGACTCCCTGGTGGGCCAGGCCCTCTTCGGCGATGGCGCTGCTGCCATGATCATCGGCGCCGATCCCGACACCTCTGTTGAGCGCCCGATCTTCCAGATGGTGTCGGCGGCACAGACCATCTTACCCGACTCTGACGGAGCCATCGACGGGCATCTGCGGGAAGTGGGTCTCACGTTCCACTTGCTGAAGGACGTTCCCGGAATCATCTCGAAGAACATTGAGAAGAGCTTGGTGGAAGCCTTCACCCCCATTGGCATCAAGGACTGGAATTCCATCTTCTGGATCGCCCATCCCGGTGGTCCGGCAATTCTGGATCAGGTGGAGGCCAAGCTGGGGCTGAAAGAAGAGAAGCTCGCAGCGACCAGGCACGTTCTGAGCGAGTACGGGAACATGTCAAGCGCGTGCGTTATCTTCATATTGGACGAGGTGAGGAAGAGGTCGATGAATGAAGGGAAGGCCACCACCGGAGAAGGATTGGAGTGGGGCGTGTTGTTCGGGTTCGGGCCGGGTCTGACGGTGGAGACAGTGGTGTTGCACAGTGTTACCGTGTAATTGGAGGACGTGGATTATATGGGCCCGGAAATTGGTGTTTGGCAGCAAGGGAGAAGCTTGAAATAAGGAAATGGAAAGGTCCATTAATTATTTCATTTACCGTTTTGAATGTTTGTTAGTACAGTATTATCGGATTCACAGGAGATCATTTACTTGGCACGACCCTGTGACGTTGTGAACCAAACCTGCAAACGGAGTTGGGATCTTTAAATTAATTTTTTGTTTTGAAGTTTTTTTATTTTATTATTATTATTTTTTATTATGAATGGGGCCAAAGTCCGGAAACTATAAAATCAACTAAACAATCACTCTTGGGCAAAAAACGCCCAAAACATCCCTATGCAACCGCTTAACGAAGCCACCAGGAGGCTCAGTCAGAAGTTGGACGGACTTGGCTTGAAAGAAGCTCCACTTCGCTAGCTAATCTGCACAACAGTTCCCTTCTCAAAAAGTATGACAGATACAAAAATCACCATTGATCATAAACTTGGTAGCCATCTTTATGAACTTGTTCCCACACTCCCCCTCGTCAAAAATTTCTCCACTCCTCTAGCAACAACGACAGAATCAGTCTCAATGATCACTTTTTTCTCCTCAAAACGCTGAATCAGAGATACACCTGTCAGCAAGCCCCACCATTCTGCATTTTCACTACAGCAACATCCCACATATCGAGCAAAACCTCCTAACCACCTCCTATTATGATCCCTAAACAAACCTCCACAACCAACAATCTTCCCATTCCCCTTCATAGCACCATCAACATTCAACTTTATCCACCCCACATCAGGTCTCACCCACCCTATACACGGCAATTTTTTGCAACCTAGCTCCATTTTCATAAAAGTGTTCCCTGACATCCATCACATATCTTCTAATAACACATTCAGGATTCAACGGCCAACAAAAATCAGGTTTGAAGAGGTAACTATTTTGCCAATACCACAAAAACCAGACACACTGCAAACACCACATTCCACCCACCCAGACCCCTTTTTTACAAATTAAATTCTGTAGCATCCACTCTTTCAAAGATAGCTTGAAAAAATCAGCCCAATCTCTTCCTTCTAACAACTTCTCCCATACCCCTCTAGCAAAACTATAATCCCGCAAAACACGTAACACATCCTTATCAGCATCATTACATCTTAAGCAAACAGGAGAAGTCTTCAAGCACCAGCTTCACTTAATAGTTGTAGGTAAACATTCATTAGTTGCTAACCATAAGAACACCTGAATTCGCTTGGCTCCCTTCCATTCTCAAATTTCCTTGCAAATCCTATCCTCTACAATCACATCAAAAACCTTCAAGCAGTTATACATATCAGTAACAGAAAACACACCACTTACATTCCTCAACCATTTCACACAATCCTCCACATCATTATTACCAGGAGGTAAAGTTGCCATCACAACTCTCTTAACATCCTCACCTAGCCAACAACTCATCAATTCATCCATGTTCCAACAACCATTCTCGTCTACATACTCTGCTACTGCACGTTGCCTCATATCCTTGTTAGTCTTAGAAGAAGCTTTATCCTCCAAACATTCTTCCTTCATAAGCCACTTGTCACTTAAAAAACGAACCCATCTTCCGTTATTCACCTCCCATCTAATATTTACCATAATTTTATCCCACAATTCCCCAAGCCTTTTCCACAGCATTGAGTTCCCATCTTTCGCAGTACACCCCCTCTGTGAGCAAACTCCCTTTTCATATTTGGCACACATCATCCTAGAAACAAGCTTTTCAGGTCTGGAGATCATTTCCCAATCCACCTTATAAAGTAAAGCATCATTCATTGATTTCATGTCCTTCAGACCAAACCCACCAGCTTCCTCAGGCAAACAAAGCTTCGCCCATCCTATAAGGTGCATCTTCCTCCTTCCGTCACTACTACCCCATATAAACTCCCACTGCACCTTCTCTATTTGTTGACATACCACTTTCGGCACATTCTCACGAAGCATATGAAACACTGGAATTTGTTGAGTTACATTTTGTACTAATATTAATCTACCAATTAGAGATAAATTGTTATTTTTCCAACCACGCAGCTTTCTTTGTATCTTTTCAACCAAAAAATGAAATTTCTGTTTTGTATTTCTCCCCCCTGTTATTTGAGTCCCAAGATAGCGTCCTAAATCCTCAGCTTCCTTAAAACCACATATGTTAATCACTTCTTGCTTTTTACTCTCGTATACATTCCTAGAAAAGGAAATAATCGTTTTCTGAGCATTAATCTTTTGCTCAAACATCCCTGCAAAACAACTAAGACACTCCAGAACCACCTTTAATTGACTTACTTCAGCTTCACAAAATAATAACAAATCATCAGCAAAAATCAAGTAAAAATGGTTTCCACCTCATACTATCAACCGCATCAGCAATAATATGAAAGAGTTTCTCCATTCCTATAACAAAAAGATATGGAGAAAGCACGTCACCTTGGTGCACCCCTCTTGAAGGAAAAAAGTAATCTGATTTAACTCCATTCCATAGAACTTGAAATGAAGTAATAGTAATGCAAGCCTTTATAACGTCCAAAATCTTCCCCGACAGCCCAATCTCCTTCAACATAGTCACAAGAAAGCTTCAACTTATTCTATCACAAGCCTTTTCCAAGTCTATTTTAATGGCCATAAACCCTCTTTTACTACTCATTCTATTCGTTGTATGGGAAATTTCTTTCGCAGCAATGATATTCTCTTGGAAGCATCTTCCTGGCACAAAGCTTGTTTGAAATAGTGACACCACTTTTGCCATCAAGGGCTTCAATCTCTGTACTACTATCTTTGTAACCACTTTATACATCACATTATATAAAGAAATTGGTCTAAACTGAGATATCACCTCTGGTTTCTCCACTTTTAGACTTAAAACCACTAATGTTCTGTTTAATTCCTTCAGCCTCTCTGGCTTTTCCCACATATTACGAACTAAATCCACTAAATCCTCTGGTGTCTCCTAATTACTATGATAAAGCATAGCTGGAAATCCATCTTCACCTAGAGCTTTATAAGCCCTAATATTGAAAATTGCATTCCTCACTTCTTCTACCTCCACATTTTTATTCATACCTTCAATCAATCTTCTATTAATACTTCCCCAACCATGCCCAGTAACAAACCAATTGCAACTTCTAACCTCTTCGTAAAACAACTTAGAATAATGATTATGTACTAAACCCAGAACCTGCTTCTCATCATTAAACCATACCCCCTCTTCATTCTTCAACATCACAATCTTATTCCAACGCCTCCTATTTAAGGTTTTCAAATGATAATACTTAGTATTGTGGTCACCGTTCTTCAACCACAAAGCCCTTGATTTTTGATACCAATGCATCTCTTTATACTGCAATAACTCCATTAATTCATCATGTAATTGCTGGTTCAACTCTTCAAGAAAGATGTTTCTTCCAAAACCCAACTTCTTTTGTATCCCCCCCAGCCTAGCCATCAATCTATTCTTCTTCCTCTTTGAATCACCAAACACCTCCCAATTCCACCTTCTCAGAGGCTTACGAAAAGCAAAAGTAGCCTCATGCACTTCCAATCTTTCACTCTAAGCCTCTTTCACAAATTTCTTGAAATTAGGATGTAAAATCCACATTGCCTCAAATGTAAAAGGCCTCTCCCCCTAAACTACTTGAACAGGCTCAAGATCAAAAAGTAAAGGATGATGATTGGAGGAAACACGTGGAAGAACGCTTACCACAGACCTTGAAAATTCATTCTGCCAATCAACATTACATAACCCTCTATCCAGCCTCTTGTAGACTCTCTCTCTACCATCCTACTTTGGCCTATTTGAAAAACGGACCGGCTGCATCCAGATCAATCAACTCATTCTCTTGGATCCAATCATTGAAACCATCAGTGTCTCAAAGTAGGTCCTGCACCTCCACTTTGTTCAGAAGGGAAAGCAATATCTTTAAAGTCCCTTGCCAATAACCAAGGACCCAAAACATCACATGCTAATCCTGACCACTTATTCTACACTTCCATTCTCCCTGCACCTTGAGGATTTGCATAGACAATCGTACAAAACTAGTCCATAAAACCCGATTTTGATAATTTCACATGCAAAAATTCAGTATCACTATAAACCACACCTAACTTCACTTCCTCATCTTTCCAACACAATCAAATACCTCCGACAAAACCATTAGCCTCTACTATCCTAGAAAAACGAAACCTCATACCCTTAATCACCCTCTCTGCCTTACTACCACTCACTCTAGTTTCAACCAGAGCCAATAGATCCAGCTTATGCACGCGAATCATCTCTTTAACAGCTAGTTTACAACTATCACTAGCTGCCCCTCGACAACTCCAAACAATCAACTTAAACATGAAAACAATGTTTAAGAAAGAGAAAATACCAAGTGTAAAGGTATCTTCAAGGACCTAGAGGTGCACTAACTTTGTTTGTTTTGTGTGACTTTATCAAGCTTGTGGGCTTGCCTTTATATTCAAAAAAGAGAAAATACCCCAATCCACCATACAGTCCATATAAGCCTTGCCTGTATGTCCAGACTCATCCTCAACACCATCAACCATATCAGAATACCTGCCATCATTATCCTCAAGTCCTCTATTAACCTCATCTTTTAACTTCCTCCATCACTAACTGCAACCTCTTTTTAGCCTTCCAGCAACATAACATCCTCAGATCGATTTCTTATGTCATTCTGTTCCTCAAATGGTACTCTGTAAAGAGTCCTCAAACCATTGTTCTCATCCATAACGTTCTTCCTAAGCCCTTGATTATTATCTTTCTGCACCCCACCAATACCACCCAAATACCCACCTCTAGGCTCCTGAATGGCTCTCCTACTTGAAACCTTTAGCTATTCTTGAATAGTCTTCTGTGTCTCTAAAACACACACTTGTTTTGTAACAAGTCCCATCATATTAAAGACATCCCTTAAAGGTTCCCTATCATCATGCAACTCCTTAGCTTGTTCTTGCTACGGCACTGAAAATCTAGACTGTCCACCAAATATTTCATCCCTGCCTCTAAAATGCCTTCCCATTCTCGGTTTCTATACTGCACGCCAAACTTTATCCTCCTTGCTTTCCTTCATACTGGCATCCGTTCTCCACATCAAATCAATATCCTCTTTGTCTCTGGCACTTACATTATCCTCCTTCCCTTTTAACTCACTGCAATTCTCCTTCAAGTGGCCGAACTATCCACAGTTTAAGCATAAGAACCCT